CGGGATCTCTCCTGATCTCCATGACTTTTCAAAGATAATGGCCAAAGGCTCCTCAATGACATTTGCCAACTCCCTCAGTACCCTTGGATGTATTAAGTCCGGACCCATGGATTTGTGTATGTTTAGTTTTTCTAAATAGTTCCTAACCTGTTCTTTCCCCACCAAGGGCTGTCCACCTTCGTCTCTTATTGCGTCACTTCGTGCGTTAGTCTGGGAGCTGACCTTGTCCACGAAGACAGAGGCAAATAAAGCATTAAGTATTTCAGCTTTCCCCACATCATCTGTCATCTGTCCAGTAGGGGTCGCACACCCTCTCTGATCACCTTTTTCTTGCTAACATGCCTGTAGAAACCTCTCTTGTTATTCTTCACATCCCTTGCGAGTTGCAATTCCAGTTGTGCTTTCGCCTTCCTGATAACCCCCCGGCATTCTCGAGCCATACATTTATACCCCTCCCATGTCATCTGTCCAAGTTTCCTCTTTTTGTAAGCTCCCTTTTTGTGCTTAAGTTCACCAAGGATTTCCCCGGTAAGCCAATCTGGACTCCTACCATATTTGCTTCTCTTGCTATGCATTGGAATGGTTTCTTTCTGTGCCTTCAATAAGGCTTCTTTAAAATATTGCCAGCTCTCCTGGGCTCCTTTCCCCTTCATGTTAGCATCCCAGGGGATTCTGCCCATCAGGTCTCTGAGGGAGTCAAAATCTGCTTTTTTGAAGTCCAAGGTGTGTATTTTACTACTCTGTTTTCTTCCTTTGGTCAGGATCCTGAAATCTACCATCTCATGATCACTGCTTCCCACTGCTACCCACCTCTACTTCCCCTGTTAGTTCCTCCCTGTTTGTGAGCAGCAGGTCAAGCTGCACACAGCCCCTAGTCGGATCCTGCAGCACTTGTACAAGAAGTTATCCCCATCATTCTCCAAAAACGTCCTGGATTGTCTGTGTCCTGCTGTATTGGTCTCCCAACAGATGTCAGGGTGATTAAAGTCCCCCAGGGCTTGCGATCTGGAAACTTCTCTCAGTTGTTCGAAGAAAGCCTCATCTACCTCATGCTTTTGATTCAGCAGCCTGTAGCAGACACCAACCACAACATCACTGCTGTTACTTACACCCCTAAACTGGACCCATAGACTCTCAACAGGCTTTTCTCCCTCTATATACTGGAGTTCTGAGCACTCATAGTGCTCTCTTACATACAGTGCAACTCCTCTTCCTTTTCTCCCCTGCCTGTTCTTCCTGACTCTTGCTTCTTGATAGATGGGGAAAGTGAGGTTAAACCTGCAAAAAACTTATGCATGTGCTTAACTGTAAGCATCTGAGTAGTCTCGTTGACTTAAACATACTTGTCATCAGGTATAACATAGTATGCCAGTCATCCCTGTGATGGGGTTCCTGCCCAACACTGGACTCTCAGGGGTTAATTGAGCCCTAGGGAGGCTGCCCAGGAAGCAACCAGTCATGGAAGGGCTTATAGCAGCCGCCAATCAGGGATGGGCAGGGCCACATAAGAAGAGCCGTGGAGCCAAGCAGTGTCAGGTGTACCCTAGAGCTTGGGGAAGAAGAAACACTCGCTGCCGTATAGGTGGAGGGCAGCAAGTATCTGAGACATAGCAGTGTAACAGGCAGAGACTCAAGGAGCTCAAGGCAGCTTTTGATGGGTTGCAGGGATCTCCAGACTGAGGCCCTGAGGCAAGTGGAAAAAGGGTGCTGTAGCTGCAGGGAAGTGGCTAGGGAGATCTACAGAGGACTCGAAAGGATGCAACATATGGGATCTTCGAGAGGATCCGTGGGATGGGACCTGAAGTAGTTGGTGGGCCCGGATCTCCCTGCCCCCCATTTGCTACTGTGGAAGTAGCTGGACTGAAATTGTGATACCCTTCCCTGGAAAGGGGAAACATGGAGTGTGGCACAATCAAAAGGGTTATGTCATAGAACCATAGAAGATTGTTTGGAAGAGATCTCAGGAGGTCCTCTAGTCCTACCCTCAGCTCAAAGCAGAACCAACTCAAACCAGATCTTAAAAACCTCTAAGAATGAAAATTCGACTACCTCTCTATTTAACCCATTCCAGTGTTTCACCAACCACCTAGTCAAACATTTTGTTCTAATATCCAATCTAGATTTCCCCCACTTTTATCATGAAACCATTGCTCCTTGTTTTATCATCTGCCACCACTGAGAACAGGACTCCCCCTGAATCTTCGCTCTTGCAGCTTGTGGAGCAGATATATGAAGAAGGCTGCTGAGATGTCTGAGCCAGTCCTATGGTCACGAATCATGCTGGGAGGAGCTGAGCACCTTAGCCCAGGGAAATGGAACCAGGAGAGTAAGATGCTCAGTGTGGTGACTTGACAGCTGAGCCGCACCCAGTGTACCCTTATGCTGACTTGTGTTCCCACCAATGTTTTATGACCACACGTTGAATGATGTTTGTGCACCCATGTGGAGGTGATGTATCTCATAACAAAAGTCATTCTGCACATGGAGAAAGTGTGGCAGGTGTGGTGCTGGTTTGGGAGGGGGCTCAGGGCTGGGGCAAAGGGTTGGGTATAAGGTGAGGGCTCTGGGGTGGAGCAGGAGATGAGAGGTTTGGGGGCTGCCCTGGGGGGAGAGGACTACACACAGCCCCCTCTTACCACAGCCTCGTGGGGCCAGGTGAGAGGTCCCTCTCCATAGCCACTGCAGCTCCAGTAGGCACAGTCAAGGAGGGGCTCCTGTATCTCGGCTGGGTGGATCTGCCTAGGCTGAGTGGAAGCCAGGGAAAGGGTGACTGTCCCTTGGCAGCAGCAGTTCTGGGGCAGCTCCATGTTGGGCATGATGGCCAGGGGAGAGACACCTTTTTCCCAGCCCCAACACGGACTGCTATTCTCAGGGGAAGGGAGCAGAGGCCCCTCTACCTCTGCCCCAGCATGGAGCTGCCACAAGTGCTTTGCAGGGGCAGCTCCATGTTGGGCCCAGTGGGGCAAGGCAGTGCTCTGTGCAGCAACTCTGTGCCCCTGCACAGGACTTGTTAGGCAGCTGCATAACCACCTGGCTGCGCAGCTTAGAGGGAACCTCAATGCTGACTTACCTCTTGGGCTTGTTGACTCCACTTCGGAGTATGGTGGGGGTAACTCTGGTGGGCCAGGATAGGGGGGTGGCCAATGCGGAAGTGTGCTAAGCGAACCTGCCCCAGGAGAACAGAAATCGGAATGAAACGTTCTCTCCCACATTCTTTGTTTTCTATTCCATACTGATTTCCAGGCTACTGAACAATTCCTCATGAAGATCTAGCCAATCCCAGGGGAAAGGCTGTGAAGGAAAAACTGGGCTACCCCAAGGTGTTTCACCATATGACTATGGAATAGAAGTTCTTTAACTAGGGCTGGGGCTCCAGGTATCCACTTTATTAGTGCTCTGAGGTCCTAATCCTTAGCAGTGCTGAAGTACGTCTGAGTGCCTTCAACTCCCACAGACTCCAGTGGTAACTGAGTGCTCAGCATTTTGCTGATCTGGGCCCTAATTATGAGTCGCTGATTATAACAGACACGTGACAGATTTAGTCATGTTCCTTAGTACAGTGATAGAATAAAAAAGAACATGCATGACACAGTCCAATTTTGGGCAGAGTTCTGAGAACAATGGGAGCTGCATCCAAGGAAAGATGTTAACCTTACAATAGCTCAGGATTCATTTCAGGAAAGGGTGGAGCCATTGGGCTGGGTGGTATCATCTGCAAACTTAATAAGCGTACTTTCATCCCAGGCATGAATGAAGACAGTAACTGAGCTCTTTATCTGAAACAACAAGGAGTCCTGTGACACCTTAAAGACTAACAAATTGAATAGGGCATAAGCATCCATGGGCTACAGCTCACTTCATCAGATGCATGAAGTGAAAGAATCAGCTGTCAGGGATATATATGTACATATAGAGATGGCAGAGGTGTGTGTGTGTTATATCCCTGCCATCTGATTCTTTCACTTCATACATCTGATGAAGTGAACTGTAGTCCATGGAAGCTTGTGCCCTATTACATTTGCAAGAACAATGAGAAGTCCTGTGGCACCTTATAGACTAACAGATATATTGGAGCATAAGCTTTTGTGGGCAAAGATCCACTTTGTCAGATGCATGTAGTGGAAATTCAAGAGGCAGGTATCAATACACAGGTCAATTCAGTCAGGGAGAATGAGTCTCACCTCTAGCAACTGATATGGAAGTGTGAATACCAATAGTTGAGAAACTGCTTTTGTAGTTGGCTAGCTATTCACAGTCTTTGTTTAATCCTAAAATAAGTGTCAAATTTGCAGATGACTTGTAGCTCTGCAGTTTCTCTTTGAAGTCTGTTTTTTTTAGTTTTTTTCATGCAGGATGGCTATTTTAAAATCTGCTACTGAGAGTCCAGGGAGATTGTTCTCCTACAGGTTTTTGTATATTACCATTCCTGATAGGATTTGTCCATTTATTCTTTTACGTAGGGACTGTCCAGTTTGGCCGATGTACATGGCAGAGGGGCATTGCTGGCATATGATGGCGTATATTACATTGGTAGATGTGCAGGTGAATGAGCCCATGATGGTGTGGCTAACCCTCTGATACCTATTACATTTGTTAGTCTTCAAGGTGCCACAGGACTCTCTGTTGTTTTTGCTGAGACAAATTAACATGGCTACCTCTCTGAAATTTTTCTTATCTGGGGCTACATCTAGACTGCAGGCTTCTTTCGGAAAAAGCTTTTCCAGAAGAGACCTTCGGAAAAAACTTCTTCCTGAGACAAATTAACATGGCTACCTCTCTGAAATTTTTCTTATCTGGGGCTACATCTAGACTGCAGGCTTCTTTCGGAAAAAGCTTTTCCAGAAGAGACCTTCGGAAAAAACTTCTTCCGAAAGAGAGCGTCCACACAGCCAAAGCGCATCAAAAAAGCGATCTGCTTTTTCGAAAGATAGCGTTCACATTGAATGGATGCTATCTAGCATTTAAGCTGTGATTACTATGGACGGAGTGGCCACCAGGGCACCTGTGTTTTTTCCTCTTTCCTCTTCTTTCGAAAGAACTCCCTCTTCCCTGTCCACAAGCGCCTTTTTCCGAAAGAGTTCTTTTGGAAAAAGGCTTCTTCCTCATAGAAAGAGGTTTACCAATGTCGGAAAAACCCCTCTGTTCTTTCGATTTCCTTTCGAAAGCCAAAAAAAACGCGATTGCAGTGTGGACAAAAGCGAAGTTTTTTCAGAAAAATGGCCATTTTTCAGAAAAAAAACTCTGTAGTGTAGACAAAGCATGGGAGAGGCTGAGTCCTTCACAGCAGCAGGCATACTGTTAATGGAGCACTGTGCAGAGTCACCCAGGAGTAAAGGAACCTGGATGTAGAAGGCCTGATCCAAAGCCAAAAAAAACGCGATTGCAGTGTGGACAAAAGCGAAGTTTTTTCAGAAAAATGGCCATTTTTCAGAAAAAAAACTCTGTAGTGTAGACAAAGCATGGGAGAGGCTGAGTCCTTCACAGCAGCAGGCATACTGTTAATGGAGCACTGTGCAGAGTCACCCAGGAGTAAAGGAACCTGGATGTAGAAGGCCTGATCCAAAGCCTTTGAAGTCAATGGAAAGATTTTGTTTGACTTCTATGGGCATTGGATGGGCCCTTGGTTCTCTCCTCTCAGGCTCCAGATGGAAGTTTGGTGGACATTTCATATAACCAGGGTGAAAATGTTTCAGTGCTTACGGGAAGCTCGAGGTGCTGATGGATGAGCATAGGTGTAGATTGAGGCTGTTGGATAATCCTGGAGATTAGCAGCCTCTCTTAATATATCTGTGTATTTAACAAGCAGAAAGAAAATCACGTTAGTAAAAATAAATCCTTTTCATGTGTCTAGTGCCTTTCTCTTGTAGGTCTTTCACTGCTTTGGAAGAACAAATTTATCAGTTGGAAGGATTTACAAAGCATGTACCAACACACTGAATCTTCCCAGCTGCTAAGAGCAAACGTTAGATTGAGCCATGGTGCTGTACAACTCTTCTGGTGGCTCTAACCAATTCTGCAGAATTTAAACTTTCACTTAAAAGACTTCTAAATATAATTTTGAAGACAACCTTTTGAACAGAAATCAGTTCAGTAGTGCCTCCCTGAGTCTGCATGCAGACTGAACCAATGTCTTTGTCTCCAGCATCTTTCTAGGCAGCAGCACAGAGTGATATGGGGCTCCCTATGTATTAGAGGCAGCAGCGTGGGGTGGCAGGTGGAGCTGGTCTGCAAAGGGAGCCTGTTTAAAAACTGCAGATAAATCATTATGTAGTACTGTAATTACTGTCGTGTAAATTACTGACTCCTAAATACCAAAGCCAAGATTCACAAAGGCCCCTAAATTCCCTTGAAATCAATGTAGCCATGTTGGTTCCAGGCTTCAAGATGGGTGAGGTACCGTAGAGTCTCAGTTATAAACACCTCAGGAGGAGGGGAGGTTGTTTGTAACGCTAACAAAATGTTAGTATTGTTCTTTCAAAATTTACATCTGAACATTGACTTAATACAGCTTTGAAACTTTAGTACACAGAAAATAAAATGCTGTATTCTCCCCCCCGCCCTTATTTTTTAGTAATTTGTTTTTCACAATACAGGCAGTCCCCGGGTTATGTACAAGATAGGGACTGTAGGTTTGTTCTTAAGTTGAATTTGTATGTAAGTCGGAACTGGTACATATTGTAGGGGAAACTCTAGCCAAACATTTCTCCAGAGCTCAGTTTTATTCTCCCACACCTCACTTCCCTCAGCCCTTTATTCTCAAGCTGAAGTGTCTGCTGAGAAAAGCCGCTCCGTGTCTCCCGGCGCTAGCTTCGCGTCTCCCTGGTCTGCTGGGGGGAAGCAGCTAGTGCGGGGTTGCCTCACCCCGTTTGTAAGTAGGGATCTGATGTAAGTCGGATCCATGTAACCCGGGGACTGCCTGTACTGCGTGCGTGCGTGCGTGCGTGCGTGTGTGTGTGTGTGTGTGTGTGTGTGTGTGTGTGCGCGCGCGCGCGGGGGCGGTCTCTGCTGCTACCTAGTGCATACTTCTGGTTCCAAATGAGGAACCCTACTTTAATGGTGCTGGGAGAATAAAGTCATCAGTATACAGGAGCCACTCAGGCCCTGATCTTCAAAGGTGGGAGTGAGGTGTCTAAACACACTTAGCAGTTTGAGAGTCAGACTCTGTAGCTGTCTTACATCTGGTCTGAAATGTTGTAATCATAATATAACCATTAACACAACTCCTTATGCCCTGCACAAACATAAGAGACATGAGGCCTGTGCAAGTCCACACTGATCAATCTTTTGGCTTTTGTATTGCATCCCTTTGTCTGTACAGCTCTTATAAGGCAGAGTTCTGGTGACCTTATTCTGATTTAGAAACAACATGCTCTGCACATAATTTTATTAGCTTCAGTAGGACTGCTCCTGCAGTAAGGTAGCATTAATGAAAAGAGAGGTAGCTGAATATACCATGTACATTGTAAATTTTGGAGCTGGGACCTTGCCTTCCTACGTGTGTATGAAACAACCACCTGACTTTTGGCACTACTCAGAGCCATCAAAAGCCTCACCTTCTGAAGACAGGGTTTGGATCATATTCAGGCAATCAGTGGCTCCATACAAGAAGATGAATTTAAAGGTGAGAACACCTTGACTGGAAGCTAAGTGGATGAGATTAGAGAAAACATGAGTCAAATCAGCTGATGGTTCCTTCACTATAGACATTTCTTCTTTCTCCAATTTACTCTGTTGTCCTTATTTCATCTCCTTGAACCCTGTAATTTTTCCCTACTCCCATGCTCTTCCCTCCCACAGCTCCATGGTTCTGCTGACATGATGATAACTCAGAAATTATACCCGTGAGGCAATCTTTGCACTGCCTACAAATGAACCTCATGAGAAAGGGAGTGGTCTCTCATACTGTCTATTCTTTTAGTGCTATACACAATGATCTTTGCAGGTTCTCAAAGCAATTTACAATCACAATCTCTCAACCTGCCTGTGGAGTAGGTGGTATTACCCACTCTAGGAGGAGCTGAGGCAACAAAAGAAACTTGTCCCAGGTGACAGTGAGTAGGTGGGAGAGTTGGGGCTAGAACACTGGACTCCTAAGTCCAATTGCCCATTGTAGGTAGTTAGTTGGGCCTACATCCTCAGTGCTATGTAGGCACCTAACTTGCACAGCAACCCATCAGAATTGGGCACCTAAATAATTCTGAGGAACTGATAATATTGAGAAAACCCTTAACACCTAGAGAGCCTGATAAATTAATCTGCAGATAAATGCCCTCTGAAGATTTTTTTTGAGGGATGTATTTATGTATGCATGAGTTAAGTCTATACAAACTTAAAATGGTGGCTGGTTAATCCAAGGTGTATGGACATCGTGAGGTTTTAATCTCCTCCTCACAACCTATTTCTAGGGGAAGTCTTCTGTTGCTCTCAGCTGATTGGGCTCAGATCCTCTGGAAACCCATTGTAATCCTAGTTTTATATTTGTGATGAATAATCCAGGCCCTGTTTAAAGTGGTCATCAAAATGGCAGTGGCTGTTGCCTTCTCCTGGTCAGTACACCTGAATATGGGCCTCTCTACAGCTACACAGGCAATATCTGCTAATATCTGTCTGCTTCTCCTCACTCAAAGTAAATGTGACATGAGACACAGATGTGGCAGCAGTAGGGTTCTTGCTATGGAAGTATGACACATACTAGAAGTCCCTTTGATATATTGTTGTCTGGAGTTCAGCTCCTCCCCTATCACACAGTCCCCCAGGAGCTGAAGTGGAAAACGGATAGTGGTGGAGCCCTTGTCCTTGTGCTGGAATATCATCTAGGAAAACAGAGACAAGACCTGGTTCAGGAAGAGCATTGCTTTGAGCTTTGTAGCTTTTTGGGGAGTGGGATCAGAGAGGGAAGGGAGAGACCTAAGAAGGTGCCAATGCTGGAGGTGATAAGCACGGTGCAGGGGAGACTACTGCAAACTTGTAACCACACAGCTTTACTAGTTACATTGGATCACTCTGCAAGTGCTAGGGCTTCATTCTAATCTTCATGGTAATCTGTGGGCTTTGCCATGTTTTCTCAGGGAAACATTTCTCTCCCTGCCAACAGTGCTTACTAGAATAGCTTTGCTCACTGGCAAATGTGGAATTGTCCACAAAACGAGCAAGAATCATGAAAATGTGAGATGGAAATTTCTCAGCTGCTGGTCCACTACTGTGGAATCTGTTCTCTGAGAAAATAAGGCAAAGCCCACTGAGTACCACTGGAGTCTCACCATTGCCAGGAAGAAATAGAAAATCCATCTCTTTGCATCAGCATGTCCATGGTGATACCTGCCTCAGGAGTTACCTGTCTCAGGGTGGCCCGCCCGGTATGTTGTGGTTTTCCCTGACAAAAGCATCTGTACATTCAGTAGGAATGACTTTAACATGAAAGGAAGCCAATAAGAAGGAAGTAAAGTCTCCAGGAGGGGGATGGTATGTGTCTCCTCTGTGACAGGCTGCATCTGAAATGAACACAAAATGGCAGCTGCCTCCAGAAAACTTAAAGATACAGTACAGAGAAAGCAAAATCCTACCAGTTGTTTCAATGTACTGTATATTGAGTAAGAACATGAAAGAATTCTTATATTAGGCCTGATCTATGCTATCTTGGTTTTATCAATAGAGTGAAACTAGAAAAACCCTTCTTGTATAGATGCAATTATAGTATATACAATCCTGGTATAGTACTTCTATTTCCCCTATCTGGCAAAAGCAATACCAGTATATTGACATTTATATTGCTTTAATTGTGTCTAAACTATCACATACCTAACCAACATGCTAGCACAACTTTCTCTTATTAAAAATGCCTTTATTAAACTAAACTAGTTCTTTATTAAAACAGTAATTTACAGAGCTGCTGACCCTGCAGATTAACAGTCTATCGATGCATATACGGTAGGTGAACATGCCTTTGGGGGAGGCTAACCTCTGCCCCCCAACCCACCTACCTGAGGTCCCACCACCTTTTGTCCTTCATGCAGCCATGACCCACCCACTCTCCTGCTTCCTCAGCCCCAGTGCTGGGTGGGTGGCACAGATGGAGCACCCGCAGCACTTGAATGGGCTGCATGGCCAGTGCACCCTAGCACGGGCTAGGTCTAGACTGTGGCGTTTTTGCGGAAAAAGCAATGCAAAATGCACTCGGCATTTTGCGTAGCTTTTTCCACTTTTTTTCGGAAGAGGCTTTTCTGCCATTTGGCCCCATCTTTTTGTGGAGCCCATATGCCTCATGAGACGTAGCCTTTGTGAGCAGGCATTGCAGCTGGAGCATTGGGTGGGCAGTTTGGCCCCAGTGCCAGGTGGACTGGTGGTGCACTACCCCGAGGGTACACCTTTCTGACATTAAAGGGAACACCAGGCAGGAGTGGCTGAGGGTGTAGCAAGGGTGGGGACATGTCAAGCATTTTTAGATGACAGAGCCTTCCATGCCTATAATACCCACCACCCATGTAAACAGCCACACAATGCAGGCTCCTCCCTTCAGCTGCCATTCAGTTTGCTAAAGTGGTGACATAGCATAGTGACAACCCAGATTAATTTCCCATTCACAGATGGGAAACTTAGGGCTTTTACAGTTTTCCAGGTGTTCAGCTACAACATTGGGCATGATGTAAATTTGACTTAAGAGTCTGGATCCTTACTTTGTACTGTGTGAGATACAGAATCCCTTTCTTTGCCCCTTGGAGCTCCTCGGGGAAGTTTGGCATCTCGTCCAGCACTAGCTGTACATTACTGAAATGAGCTAGAACCCTGGAAACAAAACCCCCAGATAGATTACCCCACAAAGAAACACACATGACTGGGATATTAGAGGCTAAACTCAGCAATGGTACACTTGGGCCTTTTCTTTTGCACAGGGCTGGATTAACTCTTCTGAGGCCCCAGGGCTACTAGATTTTGTGGGGCCCCCTAGGCTTTGGGGCAGGGCCAAAAATCGGGATCAGTGCACAGAAGGGGGTTGTGGTGGTTTGAGGCAGAAGGGTGGGTGCAATGTGGGAAGAGGTGAGGGCTCCAGCTTGGGACGTGGGCTCTGGGGTGGTGCTGGGGATGAGGAGTTTGGAGTGCAGGGGACTCCAGATGACGGCCAAGGGATTTGGAATGTGGGAGAGAGGTTAGGACAAGAGGTGGGGGAGGGGAAGGAGGTCAGGAAGAGAGAGTGCAGGATTTGGGCTCTGGGAGGGAGTTAGGGACTTAGGGTGCTGGGGTTGCAAGCTCTGGGAGAGACAGCCTGCGAGGGGCGAGGGGCTGCAGCAGGAGGGTGGAACTTGGGGTGTGAGGAACTTACCTGGGGCAGTTTCGATTGGACGGTGGGGAGAGGAATGAGTGGCTCTGCTCAGCCTTGCTTGCAGGCACTGTCCTCTTCATCTCCTATTGACTGGTGATTGGGGCCAGTGGGAGAGGTGAGGGCAGCTCCAAAATAGAGCTTCCTGGTGCAGTGCCTGTCTTGGCTCCAGGGGACAGGAGAAGGAAAGGCAGCAGCATGTGGAGCCACCTCCTCCTCAGTCAGGCAGAGCTGGCCCAGAATGCGGCATGCAGAGGCTTTAATGGCTGCAGCCTGAGGCCCCCCTTTAGTCTGGGGCCCTGTGGTGCAACCCCTGAAGCCTCTTTCTTAATCTGTCCCTGCTTCTGCATATTATCTGTATGAATATTTGCTGAAAAGGGCCTAATCCTGTGAGGTGCTGAGTAACTCCCAAAAGGTGCTGAGTGCCTCCCAAGTCCCACTGCTGTTGAAGCTCACTTAATATCTCATGGGATCATGTCCAAGGAAAAGCAGTAAGGTTTGATGCACTGGTTCTCTGTGGTCTATTCTGTACATATGCTAGAGCCGTGGTGTCCAAGCGGTTCTGAAGCAGTAGTTTTTATAGTGGCTAATGGTATAGCAACATAGCCACACTCAACTGGCCACATAGCCACATGTGGCTAGTGGCTTGCATATTGGACACCACAGTGAGAATGGACCCTATGGTAAAAGAAGTAATGGGATGGTGCCAATACAAATGCTGATATTCCAGAGTATTCATGCTAGTTATGTTGTTTCTGATTAGACCCACAGCACTGATGATAAACATAGAATCATAGAGTACTAAAACTGGAAGGGATCTCGAGAGATCATCCGGTCCAGTCCCCTGCCCTCACGACAGGACTAACCATTGCCTAGATCATTCCTGATAGATGTCTATCCAACCTGCTTTTAAATATCTTCAGTGATGGAGATTCCACAACCTCCCTAGGCAATTTATTGCAGTGTTTAACCACCCTGACAGGAAGTTTTTCCTAATGTCCAACCTAAACCTCCCTTGCTGCAGTTTAAGCCCGTTGCTTCTTGTCTTATCAGAGACCAAGGAGAACAATTTTCCCCCTCCTCCCTGTGACAGCCTTTTAGATACTTGAAAACCGCTATTGTGTCCCCTCTCAGTCTTCTCTTTTCCAAACTGAACAAGCCCAGTTCCTTCAGCCTTCCTAGCTCATGTTCTCTAGACCTTTAATCATTTTTGTTGCTCTTTTCTGGAGCTCCTCCAATTTCTCCACATCTTTCTTGAAATGTGGTGCCCAGAACTGGACATTATACTCCAACTGAGGCCTGTGAGAACTAGACATGTAAGCACTAACTAGAAGACCCTCTTTGTGCAGCACTCCCATTGGGGTCAGTAGACGTTCCACAGGAGATTGGGCTTGTATAATGCTAGGGTTTTATGATAGAAGTACACACTAGCTATATATTTTCTGATGATTATTTTCTCTCTATTGTTTGCAAAGCTCTCTGGGATGCCATTGGAGGAAGTTTTACTAGGTAATTGCCTTTATCTACATAATTATGACAATGAAAAAAGAGCTCAACCAATTAAACAGCTTTTATATTAAAATATTAAATTTCTGTGCAGCATCTGATCCTCACAGAAAATACTCATCTGAACTGTCATGCTCTATATTTTTCAGAGACGGAATTAATTTTTATGGACATAGATGATTGCCTAAAGCAGACACTTAAGGTATGTAAGTGGGACTTTCAGCTGCTAACTATAGGTGTCAGAATTTGACAATTGTGCCCCCTGTGGGTTGGTGCTATAACTGCTCATACCCATTCCAGTTAACTAAATTTCCTGGTTTTACCTTTCCTCAGAGTTATTGGTTGTCCTGGAGAATTGGTACCTGGTCACTTCCATTCCCTATATCCGAAAGTTGCTCTGCCTCTTGACTACAGGGCAAACACTCTGCCTCCAAGTGTTAGAGGCAGTGAAATGACTGCATGAGTGACCAGCAGCTCTTTATGATGTCAACAGATGAGGTAACACAAGAAAAGCATTTAATACAACAGGAGTCTTGAAATATATTGAGTGGGGGAATAGTTTTGCTATTTGAGAGGAACTTTCCTGGCTTCTACTTTACGCAAGTGAAATGGGCTAAAGAAAGATCTGAGTCCCCACTTCTACTACTTTTACTGAGACATCTCCCTGACCTGAAGGGCAACCCTTCCAGAGTACTCATAACCTAAACAAGGCTGGGCCCAGAATTCCTGGGGAACTCAATCTCTAACCTTGTTGTAGTCACTTAGGACAGGGGCTAGGGTGTTCCCACTCCAGGGTGCTCTCCCTGCACTAGACATTTCCCTAACCCACTGATCATAACCTACAGTTCAAAGGCTGAACAAATACAATGTATTAAACAGCAAACAATTTTTAAAAAGAATAAGGGAAAATGGGAAAGGTTGAAGTAAAACCCATAACCCTGCTCTGTGGCAGGGGATATCACAAACAGAGTCCAGGAATGCAAGGGCAGTTCATAGTCCATTCCTTGTAGGTCCTTGTTCTTCAGGGATGCTGTGGGTGCAGACACTTGGTCTGGTGGTGGCAACTTACCTTCAGTCTCTGGGTGGCAGGACCCTTCTTCCCAGTGTCAGCCCCCAGTCGGGGTTATGATCCTCCCCCCAAATTCTGGCCTGTGAGGCCTATTGGCTGATGGCATCTCCCTGCGCTGGGCTCTCTGCCCAGTTTCCCTCCTTGTTCTCCCCAGCTGCTCACCATACCCAATTCCAGGCTGCTCCAACCCCACACTCTCTGCTGCTCTGCCTCCAACTC